CATCCTTAATATTTCTCACTAGTTGCAGCTTATTCTTGGCACTGTCTTATATTTTTCTTAGAGGCTTTGTCTTGCTCATTCGGGTGCGTCCTGCACCCATCTTGTGTATGTTTACAGACATTGCAATTTATCATGCTCTTTATCTTTCTCTTTTCTCTCATAAAAAGATATTTGCAGTTAGTAGTCATAATTTTATTGGTTGGCATTAACTTTTCTCCTTGAATCAGGCATGGACATCAGCCCCTAACTTTTGGAAAAGTGCTTTCCTAAAGTAGGCACCTATTCTATGCCCAGTATTCCTCTTATTTTTAAGTGAACAACTTTGTATTTGCCCGTGGTTTCTATTTCTGTTGGAGATGGAACAGTTCCTCATGATTGGTCTGAATTAGGCCTAGAGTTCCTTTTGTCACTCAACACATCCATCTTGTGAAGAACAAAATTGCCCACAAGGTGCTTTGAGAATTTATCAGACATGGATTTTAGCCAAATTAAAATCATAGTTTTCCAGAAGGTAAGGTCCCTTCCCTCTGTCAGCAGCAATTCCTTTCCTATTTAACAAAGAAAACTTTCATTACTGTTCTAGGAATGAGTGTTATCCCTTCAAGTTCTAGAGAGAGTAGTGTTTGGATACGTTGTGTCTCAGGATTAGAATCTGGTTTTCTATTTGCTTATTATTTCCTTTTTTTGCTTCATCATTCAGATTTCTGGAACCATAAAGTTTGTAATTATCTTTTCTCTCTTTCTGTTTCCTCTTACAAAATGCTTTATTATATTTTTTGTCATAAGTCCTCCATAGTAATTATGGTATGAGTTTAGCATTTATCTTACCCTTTCACCTTTTTTATGTAAGGAGACTGATTTTTAAAGTAAGAATAGTAATTAATTTAATGCAAGGCATTCCCCCATAATATATTGTTTCCATTCTCCATCCAGAATTGCAGCAGGGCTACATTAGGCTAATGTTCCGGGGAAAGATAGTGAAACAGCCTTAATATTCTGTATTTCTTTTCAACAGAGAGTTCTCAGCTCTCTGCCTGACTTTGCATGAAGGCTTGGCATTAAATCTTGAGCACTTCCATTAAAATAAAATTGCTTCAGAACTTCTATTTCAGTTAATACTTTTAAAAGAGAGACACTCTTTATATGTCAATTTCTGTTCATTTAAACATGCTTGTGGAGTGAAAGGAAATTTTTGACTCTGTTAAGGCATTAGTAATGACAATCCTAATTCCAGAAAAATAATTTTTCAGTAAACTACATGAACATTTCTGTTTTTAAGAAAGCATCAAGTTTTCTTCAGACATTTAAATCACCAAATAATGTATACAAACAAGTAATAAACAAACAAAACCCCAAATATTAACATACTGAAGTGTGCTCTTGATCAGGATGAATTTTTCCAAAGGCATCTAAGTGGAACCAACCTACTAACATTATTTCTTTACCATGACACATTATCATTCTTTATTATAAATTTCCATTTCAATTTAAACTTGTTATTAAAATTAGTATCAAATAATTAGGTAAACTTAAAAGCTTTATTGAAGTACTTAAATAAACAATAAGCTATCCATATTTAAAGTGTAGAATTTGATAACATTTGACATATGCATACGCTTGTGAAACCAACACAACTGTGACAACGATCATATCCATCACCCCAAAGCTTTTATCAAGTCCCTTCAGAATCCCTCGCTTTCACTGCCCCATCTCTATCCTCAGGCAACCTTAGGTCTGCATTCTGACACTACAGTTAATTTGTATTTCCTAAAATTCTAAGAAATGGAATCATGCTGTATGATTCTTTTTGCATGGCTTCTTCCAGTCAGCAGAATTATTTTAAGATTTATATATGCTGCCTGAAGCAATAGTTCATTCCTTTTATCCCTGAGAAATATTCCATTGCATGTACATAAGTATACCACAATTTGTTTATCCATTTGCTTGCTGATGAGCACTTGTATTGTTCCCACTTTGGAGCTAATACAAATAGACCTGGTATGACATTTGCATACACGTCTTTCTATAGACACATGCTTTCATTTCATTTTGGAAAATAACCGGGAGTGGAATGTCTGGATCATATAGCAGGTATATGCTTAACATTCTCTTAAATAAACATTTTGCTTTAGAAGAGTTCTAAATGTCCAGAAAAATTGTGAAGGCAGTACAGAAAGCTCATATATAGTCCATATCTGGCTTTCCTTATCATTAACATCTTACATTAATATAATACACAACTCATGAACCAATATTTATATAATATTATTAAGTAAACCCTCTATTCAGATTTTCTTAATTTTTACTTATGGTCTTTTTTCTCTTCCAGGATCCCATGTGTGATACCACCTTATATTTAGTCATCATGCCTCCTTAGGCTCCTCTTGGCTATGACAGTTTCTCAGACTTTCATTATTTTTCATCACTTTGATAGTTGTGAGACATAATGGTCAGGTATTTCGCAGACTGTCCATTAACTGGGATTTGTCAGTTTTTGCCTCATGTAATTGATGCATTGATCATCATGTAATAAATCCTTTCATTATTCCTGATGATTGTCCTTGTTCTAAAGCCTGCTTTGTCTAAAACTAATATAGCTATTTTTTTCTTTTCTTTTTTCTTTTTTTTGAGATAGAGTCTTGCCCTGTTGCCCAGGCTGGAGTGCAGTGGCATGATCTCAGCTCACTGCAACCTCCGCCTCCTGGGTTCAAGCAATTCTCCTGGCTCAGACTCCCAAGTAACTGGGATTACAGGTGCCAACCATCACACCAGGCAAATTTTTGTATCTTTACTAAAGACGGGGTTTCGCCCTATTGGACAGACTGGTCTCCATCTCCTGACCTCAGGTGATCTGCTGCCTCGGCCTCCCAAAGTGCCGAGATTACAGGGGTGAGCAACCACACCTGCCCAAATTAACCTTTTATGTGATTCCTTTATATCTCATCTCACCGTATTATTTATATTTTATTCAAAAAATTGTAATTGCCCAAGAGTTTACAATATACATTTCTAGAAAATTGAAGTCTATCTTCAAATATCACTCTATGGTTCCACATGTAATGCAGGTACCTTATAACAGAGTATTTTCAATTCTTCCTTTCTGATCTTGTGATATTGTTGCCATTTATTTCTCTTATTCATATAATCACCCAATACATTGTTCCTATTATAGTTTTAAACAAACAGTTATTTGTTGATCATTTAAGAACAAGAAAAATAAAATATTTTATTTTACTTTTCTCTTCCTGTAAGACTTTTCTTTTCTTTATGTAGATCCAAGTTTCAGAACTATGTGTTTCATCTTTCTCAAGAACTTCTTTTAATATTTCCTATAGAGAAGGTCAGCTGGAAATAAATTCCCTCAGATTTTATTTATCTGAGAAGATCTTTTTTTCTCCTTTACATTTGAAAGGTAATTTTTTGAATTTCAAATTATAAGAAGATTTTTTTTTTCAAAACTTCTAAATAATTCACTCCACTCTTCTTGCTTTAATGGATTCTGATGAGAACTTAGCTATAATTTTTACTTTTTATTTATTTTGTTTTTGGAAAAGTTAAGATGACTTGTTTTCTCTGCCATACTTCCAAGATTTCCTAATTGTCTTTTGTCTTCTGTAGTTTGAATATAAAATGCTTGGATGGTTTTGTTGTTCTCTGAGATTCTTGGGTCTGTGGTTTCTTGACTTTAATTAATTTTGGAAAATATTTGGCCATTATTATTTTAAATATTGTTCTGCACCATTCTCTTTCTTCTTCTGGTATTCTAATTATGCATATGTTGCATTAATTGATATTGTCCCACAGATCTTGGATGGTCTATTCTTTTTAATTAGTTTTATTCATTCTTCTCTCATTTTCCGTTTCACTCTGTGAAATTTCAACTCACCTATCTTTGAGTTCATGGATTCTTTCCTTGCCCATATTGAGTCTACTGATGAGCCCATCAAAGGTATTTTTAAATTTTCTTTTACTGTTTTGGAATTCTAGCATTTTCTTTTGATCCTTTCTTATAATGTTCACCTCTCTCCTAGCATTACCCATCTATTCTTGCAGTTGACTACTCTTCCCAAGACAGTCACTAACATATTTACTATGTTATGTTAAATTGCCTATCTGATAATCCAACAACTGTATCATATCTAAATCTGATTATGTTGATGGCTTTGTTTCTTCAGACTATGCTTTTTAATGTTTTTTCTCTTGACATTACTTGTAATATTTGGTGACAACTAGACATGTATCAGGTTATAGGAAGAGGAGTAAATAGGCCTTTTCAGTGAGGATTTATGTGAATCTGGTTAGGAGTTGAGCTGTATTTAATGTTGATTGTGACTAGCTACTAGAGACTTCAGCTTTTTCTAGGGCTCTTATTTTTAGCTCTCCTTTTGGATTTGGGCCTTCTTTATGCATTACTCCTCAGAGAAAGTTCGTTTCTTTTAACTTTGCAGCTGTACATCACTGTCATACAATGCAGACTTATGGATGTAGGGGAGAGAGGACATTCTGTAATCTTCTGATTAAGTCTCAGTCTTTTATTGGGCTTGAGTCTTAGGAATGTGGCCTTCACGAGTATGTTTCTCCCTACTCCAACAGGTTGGCTTTGTTTCCCCTGTCCCTACTGACTTCCCTGGCTGCAGCATTCCCAATCTACTTTGAAGTCCTATCTCATAAAGCTGATAGGGGCTGGAGTTTATAGGAATTCCTTTCCCCTAGCCAGAAAAATGTTCAGAGTTGTGCGGTGGTGAAGCAGCATGATTTTCCTTGAAGAGCAGGTCTTTATTACGGAGAAGTCTCTGTATGCCCTTTACCTGGTTGTTCTTCCCTTTCCCTGAATGGTGCCAAGAGGGGATCTTTCTCATATTTTCACTATGAAAATCTGGTGTGATCCCTGCAAGAAAAGTCCATAAAAGTGTGGGGGCTTCTTTAAGACTGTTTCCTATTTGTCTTTTGCTTTCTGTAACAAAAAATTCTAACCACCAGAATGTTCTTACTCTTTGTAGTCTACATTCAGCCTCCAGCTAGTCCTCAAAATTACAAGTTATACGTCTCTACCAGTCTATGGCTTCAGCAGCTTTTCCTCCAGGTAAGCAGATCTCATCTGTGACTCCATCTACTCATCTGTCTTCTCAGATTTCAAGGTGGCAGTGTAACTTTTGTTGTAAAGGTGACAGTGATGACTTCTAAGCTCAATACATATCGCAGCTGAAACTGAACTTTTGTTTAACTTTCACAAAAGTGCCAAACTAGTTGCAAAATGGTTGTTCCATTTTATGTTCCCACTGGCAGTGCATAGAATTACATTTGGTTTACTTTCTAACACTTGGAATGGACAATCTTTTAAGTGATAGACAATGTAATAAGTGCTGCCTTATTTTGATTTTAATTCTGATTTCCCTAGTATCTAATTATGTTGAACATCTTTTCATGTGATTATTTGCCATCATGTACATTCTTTGGTAAAGAGTCAGTTCAAAGAGTTTTCCTATTTTTGTGCGGGAGAGCAGTGTTTGTTGTTTTTTTGCTAAGTTCTATATACAAGTCCTTTATCAGATATGTGATTTAACAATATTTTTTCCTACTCTGTGTCTTGGCTTTTTATTTTCTGCAATATATTTATAAAGGAGTTCTAAATGTTGAAGTCTAACTTATTTTTCTTTGTATGAATTATGCTTTTGGTGACATATGTAATAAACCTTTGCTTAGCCGACATCAAAAATTTTTCTTCTATGTTTTATTTTGGATACTTTATAATTTTAGGTTTTACATTTAAGTTTATGACATGGTAGAATTAATTGGTAAATATGTTGAGAGTTAAGGATTGATGATTATTTTTTGGTATGTGGACATCAAATTTGTCCAGCATTATTTGATGAAAAGACCATCCTTTCTTCACAGAATTGCCTTTGCACCTTTTCCAAAAATTAGTAGTCCATATATGTTTGAGTATTGTATTAGTCCGTTTTCACAGTGCTGTAAAGACATACCAGAGAATGGGTAATTTATAAAGGAAAGAGGTTTAATTGACTCACAGTTCCACATGGCTAGGGAGGCCTCAGGAAATTTACAGTCATGGCAGTAGGCAAAGGGGAAGCAAAGACCTTCTTCACATGGAGGCAGGAAAGAGAGTGTGTGAACGAGGAACTGTCAAACACTTATAAAACCATTAGATCTCGTGAGAACTCATTATCAAGAGAACAGCATGGAGGAACCACCCCTGTGATTCAATCACTTCCCACCAGGTCCCTCCCTCAACAAGTGGGGATTATGGAGATTACAATTCAGCATGAGATTTGGGTGGGGACACAGAGCCAGACCATTATCAGATATATAACAGATATATTTCTGGATTCTTTATTCTTTTGCATGAATCTGTCTATGTATCTTTGAGTCAATGCTAGCATGTCTTGATTATTGTAGCTTTTTGGTAAGTCTTAAAGTTTTTGAAGTAATTCCTGTAACTCCTCTCATGTTGTTTTTTCTTTACTTTTTCCTCTTTCTTTTTCTTTTCTTTTTTCTTTTTTCTTTTTTTTTTTTTTGAGACAGAGTCTTACTCTGTCACCCAGGCTGGAATGCAATGGCACAATCTTGGCTCACTGCAACCTCTACCTCCCAGGTTCAAATGACTCTTGTTCTTCAGCCTCATGAGTAGCTGGAATTACAGGTGAGTGCCACCATGCCTGGCTAATTTTTATATTTTTACTAGAGATGGGTTTTTCCCATGTTGACCAGGCTGGTCTTGAACACCTGACCTCAAGTGATCCACCTTCCTCACCCTCCCAAAGTGCTTGGATTACATCCATGAATCACTGTGCCCAGCCTCATGTTGTCTTTCTATTTCTTCTTCTTCTTCTTCTTTTTTTTTTTTTTTTTTTTTTTTTTTTTTTTTTTTTTTTGAGATGGAGTCTTGCTCTGTCGCCCAGGCTTGAATGCAGTGGTGCAATCTCGACTCACTGCAAGCTCTGCCTCCCGGGTTCACACTATACTCCTGCCTTAACCTCCTGAATAGCTGGGACTACAGGCACCTGCCACCATGTCTGGCTAATTTCTTTTTGTATTTTTAGTAGAGAAGCGATTTCACTGTGTTAGCTGGGATGGTCTCGATCTCCTGACCTCATGATCCGCCCTTGTCGGCCTCCCAAAGTGCTGGGATTACAGGCTTGAGCCACTGCTCCCAGCCTGTTTTTCTATTTCAAAGTTGTTTTGGCTACACTAGGTTCTTTACAGTTCCATTGTAGACTTTAAAATTCGCTGCCAAATTTCTATTTTTTTAAAAAAAAGCATGTTGCAATTTGGATTGGGATTTTATTGTAATTATAGGTCAGTTGGAGGAGAACTAGCATCTTAACAATATTAAGTCTTCTGATTCATGGATCAAATGTATCTCTCCATTTATTTAGATATTTTAAAATATCTTTCAGCAATGTTTTGTAGATTTTAATGTTCAGGGCTTGCATGTATTTCTTTTTTACATTTATTCCCAACTATTTCATGTTTTTAAATGCTTCTGTAAATGGTAGTTAAATTGTTCCTAATTGTTCTTTACTATTGTATAGACATACAACTGACTTTTGAATATTGCTTTTGTATCCTGCAGTTGCTAAACTTACTTATAAGTTATAGTAACTTTAAAAAATATCGTCTACATTAAATTTCACATGATCTTTTGTCCAAGAGTTTTATTTCCTCCTTTAAAATCTAGATTTTTTTTTTTTTTTTCATATTGAAACAACTAATTCCCTTAAGTACAACGTTCACCGTGTTGAGAGTGGTCATTCTTTTCTTATTCTTCACCATAGGGGAGAAATGATTCAATCTTTCACCAGTAATTTGATATTTATTTTAGCTAGAAGTATTTTTGTAGTTGCCATTTATCAACTCAAGAAAACTTTCTTCTATACCTAGTTTGTTGAGATTTTTTTTTTTTCCATAATTGAAAGAACATAGTATTCTGACAAAAGCTTTTTCTACATGTATTAAGGACACCATATGTTTTTTTCTTTTTTTTTTTTTTTTTTGTTTGCTTATATTAAGAAATATGTTGGTTGATTTTTGAGTTTTAAGCTAACCTTGCATGCCTGGAATAAAACTGGCCATGATTTATTATCCTTTCATATATTGTTTAATTTGATTGGTTAACATTTTGCTAAAAAATTTTCATCCATGTTTATTAGGAATATTGGTTTGCAGTTTTCTTTTTTTTTTTAAATGTCTTTGTCTGGATGTGTTGTTGGAATAATCCTGAAATCAATGTATAAATTGGTATTATAGTATTATTGCCTCTTCAAGTATCTGGAAACACTTGTATAAGATTTGTATTGTTTCTTTCTTAAATACGTGATAGAATTTATCAGTGAAGCAATCTGGGGGGTTTCCTTGTGAGAATGTTTTGAACTACAAATTAAATTTTTGTAATAGATATAAGGCTATTTAGTTTTTATCTCTCTCTTCTTCACTGAGCTTTGGTAGTTTGTATCTTTCAAATAATTTGTGCATTTAATATAACTTTTAAAATTGGTTGTCCTGATTTAGTTTGTAAATTTCTTTATTCTTTCTTCTAATATGAAATTCTAATATCTGTAGATATATTCTGATATTCTAATATCTGTAAAATCTGTAGTGATGTCACTGCTTTTATTTCTGATATTGGTAATTTATTTTCTCTTTTTTTCTTGAACAGCCTGGCTAGAGATTTATAAATTCTATTGATCTCATTTTCTTGTTGGTCTGTTTTATTGAACTACAATTTTATCTTGATCATTTTTTTTTCCTGCTTACTTTGGGTTTCATTTGTTTTTCTTTTTCTAAATTTTTAAGATTGAAGCTAAGACCATCGATATATGACCTTTCTATTTTCTAATATGAGGAGTTTGACATATATTCTTTTCTCTAATCATTATTTTTGCTATCTTCCACAGTTTTTATATGTCCTGTTTTCATTCTTCCTTAGTTAACACATGCTTTCTAATTTCTCTTTAAGTTTATTATTTGCACATTGGTTGTTTAGAAATGTGTTATTTTTTAAATATTTGGAGGATCTTCCAGAAATCTCTTTGTTGTCAGTTTCTAATTTAATTCCATTGTGTTTAGATAATATGTTTTGCATGTCTTGAATCCTTTTAAGTTAATTGACATTTGTGTTATAACCCAACCTGTGGTCATTTTGGTAAATCAGTTTTGAAAGTACCATATAATGAATTATTGCAAACAATGTTTGCTTTTTGTTTCCTCATCCTGTTTCTACCATTAAGAAAAAAATAAGGGAAACATTTATAAGATTTAGACAAATATTTTCATTTATTTATTTTATATATTAAGAAAGCATTTTGTTGTGACATGATTTTTCTTTCTAAAAGCTTACTTTGATCAGGATCTGGGAGAATTATCAATAAAAAATGAAAGCTTACTTTAGATTATATTACCCTCAAGATACTTGCTAATATTTTTGCATCAACATATCTTATCTCCTTTGAAATTTGCCTCTTTCCCTACTTTTTTTGGAGCCTGATGCCACATGTGGTTTTCTAGCATTTTATGTTGGCATCTGGTGCTGCATGATCTTTTCAGAAATATAAATGTGGCATTTGTTTAGATAATAATCCCTTCAGCTCCACAGCAAACAACTTTCCTTGGAAATTTTAACCTAACCTTACTTCCCAATCATGACTTTTAAATTTTTCCTGTCATGTATTCATTGCTTTGCTGACCTATAACCTTCCCAAGGTTAATATTCTATTTCTTCAAGGGAAATATAATTCAAGGGGACTTTGAGTTGTCTTGCGGTTTTCTTGTTTCATAGTAGGACTATTGCAAGCAAGACATTTTTATAGTTGCTTTTTTTTTTAAATTCTGAAATCTTTATTAATACTAATAGCATAACTTAGGAGAAGTTCTTAAAACAAGAATACTTCTCTCATTCAAGACTTTTTTTTAAATTGTGAAGCAATTATAAAAACATAGAGATTTGAGAAAAAAAGTCTGCAAATATTGTGTGGTATTCAAAATAAAGCCTTTATATGAATCTAAAATAAACCTGTTACATGAATATCATATATAAAAGACTCTTATCTTTTATATATGCTCTTCATGTATCTTTTTATCTTCTGCATTAATGTTAATAAAGCCACCACAAACCCGGTGTGCATTAATACAAGTATTATTGATGTGTGTGAATATATATTACTTATAAAAACACAAAGACAAGATTCAAAGTTTACTTCAAAGTGAACTGCATTCACTTTTGCTAGTAAAAGTGAGTCATGCTTTTGATCTTATCTCTAGGATCCAGAGAATTGCTGCAGGCAATACTACATAAGAAAAGAAAAGCTTCTTCAAAAAAGATGTATAGACTGTATTCCTATTTTTCTTCTTTCATGGTGTTGTTTCATTCACCAGCCAAAATTCTGTAGAATTTACAAACTAATACCACTAAAACATTTGAACATATAGCACTATTTTAGTGTCTTTCATCCTCAAATTAAAGGTATAGAATCAGTTTCTTTAGGTTGTTCCTTTAGTCTCATAAGTCAGAAAGTTCTCCTTGCAATAGAGATGTTGTTGTTATCTTGAATCTCATAAAATTCAAATGACCAGACAATTTTTTTTTTTTTTTTGAGCCAGAGTTTCACTCTTGTTGCCCAAGCTGGAGTGCAATGGTGCAATCTCAGCTCACTACAACCTCTGCCTCCCAGGTTTAAGTGATTCTTCTACCTCAGCCTCTGGGGTAACTGGGATTACAGGCATGTGCCAATATGCCCAGCTAAGTTTTATAGTTATAGTAGAGACAGGGTTTCTCCATATTGGTCAGGCTGATCTCGAACTCCTGACCTCAGGTGATCCACCCACCTCAGCCTAGCAAAGTACTGGGATTACAGGCGTGAGTCACCACGCCCGACCCAACCAGACAATATTTTTCATATATCTACAACATTTAAAAATTATTTGTGATACATTTTTGTTAGAAAAAAGCAAAGTACAGCATATGAATGTTTCCTATGTTATATCATTAGAGATGACCACTATTAATGTTTTGGTTTGTAAACTGTTATAGACAGATAGATACGTCCAGTCATTTATTAAATTAGCTAATAAATAGGCTTACTAAATTCACCAAATTCCTAATATCTTTATTCCTCCTATCTATCTGGCATAACACATCCAATATTTAGCAAAGATTATTGTTTCTACCTTTTAAATGCAGTA